TGTAATATAAATTTGAATCAAAACAATTAACAAATGTTGTCGGGGTGAAACCAGTGCAAATCTAAATATTTAAATTTAAGAAGTTTAGTCAGTATAATAACGTTTGTGAATTGTTTTGATTCAAATAATCAAATTATTACAGTACTGTACTGTCCCCCTTCCCAGTGCCAGTGGAGAGAAATTTGAAATGTTTGTTGATTTTCGTTGTCCAATCAGGGTTGAGTGTGTTTTGAGTTGTTCAACGACTTCCGCTGTTTGTCCAGCAAACCCGGCACGCGGATATATTTTGGGCGAATTTTGTTATTCCCTCACGGATTTCAGAGCGAATTTAAGCTCTTTGATTAAAGCATCGTTGTTTTGAGAGTTATACGGTATCATTCTTGCAGGGGATATCGATTAATTGTGAAAGAAATACATTAAAGGCGAAAAATCGAGGATAGTTTCGTGTGACATATGCCAGTCTGGGCTATTTTGGTCTCAATGTTTCCTTCCTTCCCTCGTTATAAGGAAGGCACAGGCGGGCGCGGGCAAATCGAGCCTGGGCCTCCTGTGCTCGCACTGATTATATTGTATACAAAACGTTAAAACTACGGTGCATTTTGTAAATAACATGAAATATATTCAACCATTTCCACGGGTTTTTATACCTTCAAAAAGTCACAATAAAACTAAATTGTAGAGGAAATATCAATAACAGTCAATCATTGTAATGAGAATTTTTTGTTTGATATTTTTATTATATTAAGCAATTATTGGATGAGGCTGAGCATGATATCAAGAATTATTCAGACCGAGGTCAATGTTATCTGCCGAAGCGAAGCTGAGGCAGATAACATAGACCGAGGTCTGAATAATTCTTGATATCATGCGAAAGCCGAATCCAATAATTGTTTTATTATACATTTAAAGACATGAGAAACGTATAAAACGATTCCTGTTCATGAGGTAGGAAAAGTACAATTTGAATATCAAACACCTTGCACAAAGTCAAAGGTCAGCTAAATATTCTATTTCTACTTCTATTTACCCCATTTGTGGCTTTTTTCGTGCTTTCACTATCCTTATCTGCCAATAATTTGGAGAGTTCACTTTCATTCAGCGAAGCAAATCTGCTGTAGGCCATTGTTTGTTTGTTTTTTTCGCGCGCTTATATGTTCAAGCTTTTGGCCGCGCAAGGGTTTGGGCACGAGAGAGTCCAATAATTGTTTTTTTGGATGCAAGTTCGATCCAAAAAAACAATTATTGGACGCTGATGACGTCATCGGCGGAAAAAAGTAATAAATGCAGAATACTGAAAATTAGCCGGTGCTTTCTGACCAATTAGAAACGAGAATACATATTAAATGTATAATAATTCATGTTATTTACAAAATGTACTGTAGTTTTGACCTTGACCAGTAGTGACCTTGACCTTGTTATTACCGTCGCTTGCAACAGCCCGCCGCACACGAGAGCAACTTGCTGAGCTAACCGCCTTGCGATAGTTTTCGTGAGGATTTAACCTCTCGAGGCCTTGAGGAAAATGTCTATCGTCAGCGTCTGCGGATGTTGTGAGCTAAGTGCTGAGCTGTTTGGAACAAAATGGAGGAAAATGCAAATGATTTTGTTATTTATGTTGTTGTCGAGTAGTTTTCTCAACGTGTGCGGTGAAAATACATAGCTGAGCTAATAAAGGATGAACAGTCGCTCATAAAAAAACATTGCCTGCCGTAAACCTCCGACCATAAGCCCTGGGCTTATATTCTTTCGTAAGCGATTTTTGATGGGCTTATACAAGGGGGGGAGGGCTTATATACGGGGGGGGGCTTACACATGAACGATCTTTTGTGTTAGTGTAATAGTGATAAACAAGTATAGTAATAGTGATAAATAAGTGCTAAGCATAGTAATAATAGTGATTAATAGTGGTAATATAAGTGGGCTTATGTTCGGGTGGGCTTATATTCGAGGACTTATATTTGGAATGAGGTGAGTGTTAGAACATGTGGTGGGCTTATACACAGGGGGCTTATATTCTGGGGGGGGGGGCTTATATTCGGATGTTTACGGTATTCGCGTGAGAATTTTAAGCTTTCTTATTTTGACATAATAGCTATTTTTCAATAAATATATTGATTTAAATTTATTGAATCAATATTTTAAGTTTCAGGCCAGTTGTGCCAAACGTTATCAGCGCTAGCGCACCATGTCAGCGCTAGCGCACCAGACGGCATGCAACATGTACGCACTCCATACCTATGCCTGCAACATGTACGCACTGCGTACCTTGATTAAATAATTTGGTATACAACAAATGTGTGATGAGTTCGGTATACTAGTGGCACCGTGACCAGGATTCGAGAGGATAAAAACGACGAAAATGAAATATACAAAGCGAAATACGAAGTAAACACTGTTGATTTTTCATTATGAGCGACGAAGAGGCGAGCGAGATTACAAACACAGGCGAGCAAAACCTCGAAGGAGATATTGAGAAAGAGATCTCTAAGTTGAAGTATTTCTTAGAAGAAACAAATGAAATTATTCAAGCGAAAGATTACGGTGAAATGGAAGCTATAAACAATCGCGCTGGGAAAATAATTGTCAAAATATCGGAGCTTATTTCACAAACAGAAGAATTGAAAATCGATAACGGCACAACACCGCGTTCAGTTAGACAGTGGAAAAGGAAACAAGAGCTAAATATTCAGCGCTGATCGAAGATAAAGAGAAAATAGTACAACAACTAAAGGAAAAACAAGAAAAAGCTTATGACGAAGCTGAATTACGACGGTTAGAATTGAAAGATAAACAATTTCAACAAGAAGAACAACGACGAGCTGAAATTCGCGAAGCACAAGAGGAACGCGAACGACAATTATGGCAAGAAAGGCACGAGGCTGAATTACGCATGATGCAGAGAAAGATAGAAATGGAAAAGACCGCTCGTTCATCTGCAGCGAAATTACCAAAGTTAAAAATAACACCGTTCAATGGAACCCCCACAGATTAGGTGCGATTTGAGAACATGTTTTTGACACTTGTTCACGAAAAAGCGAGTGCAGCCGAAGAGGTGAGGGAAAAGATTGCTAATTTGAAACCAGGTGAAGTCGGTTACAAGATTGCATGGGAGAGATTAAAAAGCGAGTATGGTCACCCCAAACAAGTTATCAACGCCCATATGGATGCCATAATTAACTTAACTCCAGTAAGAGGACATAATTATGAAAAAGTTCAAGATTTATATGAGAAATTATGCAAGAATTTCGATGCACTTCAAACTTTGGGAGAAAGTGAAAAACTTTCTGGATTTGTTATGACCACAATTAACAAGTTGCCACACATAAAACCCGACTTGGTTCGAGCGAACGATGACTGGGAAGAATGGTCCATGGAAGTACTAATAAAGAATTTGCAAAAGTGGCTTCGACGGAATAAAGTGGATGATGCGAGCAATCAGAAAGAAACCAGATACAAGAAACCAGAAGGACACTGGTATCAAAAGTCATCCGGACCCCAAAACTTCACTGTGTTTTTTGCGCGAACAATGAACACTGGAGTGATCAATGCAAAACAGTGAAACGATTGTCCGACCGAAAGAAATTCTTCGTTGAGAAGAATCTGTGTTTTAACTGTGGTCGCACAGGGCACAGGGAAAATCAATGCCGAAGTCGTGGTTGCCTGAAGTGTAATGCCAAACATCACACAAGCCTATGTGATAAGAATGAAGACAACCAAGAGAACAAGACATCATTAACTGGATTCACCACATCAATCAAGGAGAAATCGCTTCCAGCCATTATACCTGTCGACATAAAAGGACAGACCCGGTGGCCATATCTCGACACTGGCTCGAGTCAAAACTTTATTTCACGCGTGGCTGTGAAAAAACTCGATTTGAATCCAACACATCATGAATCCCACGAGATTGTATCCGTGAATAGTACCTCTACTCAATCCATGCCTATTTTCCAAACAACCATAACTTCTCTTGATGGGAAAGTACATGAAGAAAGACTGTTCCAGACTTCAAGATTTTACCACAGTTAAGAGACCAGATATGAATGAACTCAAGATGAAGTACACCCATACACAAGACAAAAGATTTTATCTGCCAAAGGGGAACATCCAATACATCTCATACTCGGTGATGGCACATACAGCAGGATCCGAACTGAGAAGGTTTATAAAGGAAATCCCGGAGATCCCCTTGTGGAGAAGACAACATTCGGATGGGTCATTCATGGTGGTGAGGATTATTCGAGCGATGCCTGTATGTTCACTAGCGCAGTTTACGATTACGAACAGTTATATAGTCTTGATGTTCAAGTGCAAGTGACCAAATGCAAGTGCTTGCTGAGTTTCGAGAGAACATAACCAGACAAGAAGATGGCAGATACCAAGTTAGCATACCATGGATTCCGATCCAGGGAGTAAGTTGACAACTACAAAAAACGAACAGCCAAGCAGAAGACGATTGTTCAACGTGAGCAAAAAGTTAGCGAAAGACGAAAACCTGAAGCAAGAGTATGAGAAGATTATCGATGATCAACTAGCAAGCGGTGTGATTGAGAAAGTCCCAGACGAGCCGTCAGGAGAGCGAGTATACTACATGCCACATAAGCCAGTCGTAAGGCAAGACGCATCGACAACGAAAGTGAGAATGGTCTTTGATGCGAGCTTCAAACCCCATCCACTGGCATCCAGTATTAATAATTGTATGTTTGCTTCTTGCAGACAAATCTGCTTCTTGCAGACATTCAAAAAGCTTTTTTACAGATAGCAATCAAAGAAGAAGACAGGGATGCCTTCAGATTTCTCTTCGAGCGCGACGAAAAAGAGGAACATTTCCGATTCGCCAGGGTTCCATTCGGGGTTGAAGCCAGCCCATTCTTACTCGGTGCTACATTAGAATACCACTACGACCAGCAATCACCAGAATTAGAGGAAACAATGACTGCCCTTAGAGAAAATACGTATGTGGACAATATCATGCAAACGGGAAATAACATTGATAAGTTGGAGAAGTTTAAGAAAGAAAGTGAGTGAAGTTGTTCTTGAGAGTGCAAAATTACCGATTCACAAGTGGGAGTCACGAACATCGCGGGATTAGAGGATGAGAACATGCCAAATCCTAGCAAAATTCTTGGTCATGTTTGGGACAAGCGTGAAGATACTCTAGAAATACAACCACCAGCAGTACCAGAGACTGAACCAGTTACGAAACGAAGCATCTTGAGTCAGCTTGGCAAAGTGTACGACCCATTGGGAATAATATCACCCACGATGGCCGAAGGAAAACACATTTACAGAGAGGCTTGTGAAGAGAAAAAGGGATGGAATGCCGAGGTTTCGCCAGAATTGAAGAAACAGTGGCACAAAATTGGAAGAAACAACTAAAGAACGTGAAAGTACCGAGGAGCTTAACAGGAAATTCGAAGGAAACGAAGGCTATATCTCGCATGTTCTGCAGTAAACATAGCAGTATATGAACATTTATCTGGAACGATCAAAGAGTTGCTGACATTGAAGTCCCGGATTTCAATGTCAGCAACCCTTTGATCGTTCCAGATGAATGTTCAACTACTGCTATGGTTACTGCAGAACATGCGAGATTGCTTGCGTCGGCAAACACATGGAGCTCGGTAGCCTTCGTTTCCTTCGAATTTCCTGTTAAGGTCCTCGATACTTTCACGTTCTTTAGTTGTTTCTTCCATTTGTGCCACTGTTTCTTCAATCCTGGCGAAACCTCGGCATTCCATCCCTTTTTCTCTTCACAAGCCTCTCTGAAAATGTGTTTTCCTTCGGCCAGCGTGGGTATTAAGATTTCTAAACAACTGTTTGGCAAGAGTTCGTCGAAACCAAAAGCAATCGGGGCCTCTTTTAAGCGAAGAAATTACAGTCGCAAGAAACGCTTGGGTAAGAAGAGTACAACAAGGTGTCAACCCTGAATTACAAGCGCCAGGTTGGAGAATCGTCGAAGACGAAGTAACGAAAGTTCTCAAGTGTAAAGGAAGAGTAAATACGAATCAATATACTGTACCTTGACGGAGGACTGTTCGTAGAAAAGCTAATAGCTCACACTCACAGCAAGATCAAGCATTTCGGTATTGCAAATACCATGGCTGCTTTGAGAGAACAGTGGTGGATACCACAACTTAGATCAAAGGTGAAAAAATTAATCAACAATTGCAATATCTGCAAGTTGTATTCCACGAAGACGTATGGGTCACCATGCCCAGCTTTACGAGACAGACGAGCGACATGCCCAGCTTTAGAAGTCACCGGTGTCGATTTCGCCGGGCCGTTAAAATACAAAATCAGTAAGAGAGAAGAGGGAAAGTGCTACGTATTAATCTTCACGTATGCAGCATCTCGAGCGATCCACCTGGAACTAACTAAGAGCCAAGAAGCAGAGGAATTCCAACGAAAGCTCAACTCATTCATCGTTCGAAGAGGAAAACCTCGATTAATGATATCGGCAACGCAGCGACATTTAAAACGACAGCCAAACTAATCAAAGTCATTAGAAAGAGTAAGAAATTGCACGACTTTCTAGCAGCACAAGGTATACACTGGAGATTCAACCTCGCTAAATCCCCTTGGTGGGGAGGTAACTATGAAAGATTGATTCGGCAAATAAAGAAGACCCTTTGCAAGAACCTTGGAAGATCGCACTTTTCATTCGAGAATTTGGAAATGGTCCTCATGGACATTGAAATTAATATGAACAATCGTCCATTAACCTATGTCGAAAGCGAAAGTGG